AGCCAGCACTCTGGCTGGGGAATTCTGGGAGTTGAGATCCACACCTCTTCAAGTTGCCAAGTTGGGAAAACATTGGTCTAGACCTTTGTGATCATAAAGAAAAAATGAAAATTTGTAGGAATTATTTCTGGGTGATGCAGTTGAAGGATGACACTTAAACTGGACCACATCCAGGTGAGTGAGTGTAGTGAGAAGAGGGAATGGCCTTGAGTGATAGGAGGAAGAGCCGCTACCAAGACAACAGTCAGATAAAAGAGGGCTGAGTCCGGGGCAGGAATGTAACCCAAGTAAGCATCTCAGATTTGACCCTCCCCAGTTCTCACGAAGACAAAGCGGGGGGAGCACATTCAAACTTGCAAAATTCTGTTACTATATCTTTATAATAAAATTAGTATTAGATTGCATGTCTTTGGTTTCCTAGTCTGGTCTACTGTGAAGGACTGATAGTGAGGAGTCTGGAAATCAAGTCGTGGGAAGAACAGTTGACAGAACTGGTGAATCAAAACCTAGAGATCATGGAGGGAAGACGTGAGAGTCATCTTTAGCCTTCTCAAGGGATGTCAAGCAGAAGATGGGCTGTGTTGCTCTCTGCTCCTTCAGAGCAAAAGGGCTGCTCCAGAGGACAGGATCAGACCCGAAGGGCCCATTAGGGGAAACCTTTTACTATAGAAGAACATATTATATTGAGAGGGGTCAGGTTGGCTGCTGAATCAGCTGATCAGCCACCTCTCAGGATGTTACAGAGCTACATAATGCAGCCCTGGAGGGCAGATTCCTAAAACTCTGCAGTCACAAAGCTTATGCTCATGTGGTTCAGATCACAATGAATCAACAAAACACGTTTCTCTACGTTTTATTCCAGTCAGAGGCAAAGGGTTCTTCAGCTGCTTCTACAAAATTTGCTCTGTGGAACAGAGACATTTTATATTAATGACCTGAGAGCAGACAACAACCCCAAAGGGACAGTGTTTCTCTTTGCCATCTGACTGAGTCTGATAAAGCTTTTCTTGATATGTTGTTAGTGCCTGCACAGAGCTGGGCATTGGGTAAGATGACTTCCAAAATCCCGTTCAGCTCTTATGATTTAAAGGGTTTGGTGAGGAAACCGAAACACAGCAGAACTTGGGAAGGATGAGGGGAGACGTCCTAGCAGAAGACTTGCCGTCCAGCAGCTCTGTGGGCCTCTTTAAGTAGCTGCCAAGGAAACACAGGGAACTGCTGAATGCCTGGGACAGAAGACTTTAATCTAGCCATGACCTCTCTCCAGTGATGCCTGGGAGAAAAAATATTTCTACCTGGGGAAACAAAGGAGCAACACATTTCAATAGAAGGGAAACAGGAGCTGCCCAATTTTTACTCGGCTTCAGTGCAACTTCTGGGAGGAACCAAAGTGCTGATCTGGAGGGCCTTGCCAGCCGCTGCTGGGCCTCTCAATGCCATCTTACGGGCTAACGCTGGCAACTTCAAGAGGATGGCAGCTGAGGATCGCTGGGTCTTTACCTTTTGCGTCTCCAGTTCTCAAACACCTGAGGATAGAAGGAAACCGACCAGGCCAGGAAATAGATCCACCCAATCACCTGGTCCACAATCCTCACGGCCTTGCTGTGGATGACAAAGAACTGGATTCTGGGCCTGCAAAAGAAAGATTGTGCCTCAGAGGGTCCTCTCCAAGAAGATCCAGGCTCCTGGACCTCAGGACTGCAGCTTAGAGGGGGTGGGGAGGAGACCTCAGAAGGCAGGCGAAACACCAAGGAGCCGGAAGTGGTCCCTGGCAATGGAAGAGCTCGTGTCCACTTAAAAGAGTATACCCACTCCTATGAAGCTGGGCTTCTTCTGGACTCCACCACTGGCATCCACAGGTGCAAAGCAGCCTCAGTCTGAGGTGGCCAGTCAGGAAGGTTTTTGTTAGAGTGGGGAAATTTGAAGAATGGCCAGTGAGTGAAATTACGCCTCGATTAATGGAATTGCCAGCTGAACTGGGTCAGCGCTGACACTTACCCCGTTTTGCGGGAGGTGTTCGTCTGCAGATATACCGTCACCTGCCCGACATTTTTAGCTCTCACAGGGAAATGTGCCTCCCTTTGGCCTGCAGTTATTATTACCTGTCAGGTATGGAGACATAAAATATATGAACTGCCTACAAGACTCAAGGGGTGGCCTTATGGCTAGATGAATGTCAGTCCATCCTTTTCTGCTGATCCTGATGGACACTGACGCCACATTGTCTTAGGGCAGTGTTTTTCAAACTTGGTCACTCTAAGATGTGTGGGCTTCGACTCCCAGAATTCCTCAGCCAGCATGCTGGCTGGGGAATTCTGGGAGTCAAAGTCCACACATCTTAAAGTGGCCAAGTTTGAAAAACACTGCCTTAAAGGAATCATGCCATAGGAACAATAATTTGGCCAATCTTGAGGAGCGCCAAGACTTGTGTTGCTTTGCTGCAAATAAATAAATAAATAAATAAACAAACAAACGTTGCTTTTTTCTGGAGGATGTTTGCCCAAAGAAGAACTATAAAAACGGTGGAAGGGAAGGACTACTTAAAACAGTCTTCCCTCTCCAGCTGAGCTGGTCTACATCAATGGTTTACAAATGTGGCCACTTAAAGAAGCGTGGACTTCAACTTCAAAGCATGCTGGCTGGGGAATTGTTGAGAAACACTGACTTAGGGTTTTCCCATCCCAACCTGGAGGTTCTAGAGTTATACCAGAGATATACTGCAAAACATATATGATCTAACACACCTCTGACCTCATCCAATGCAACCAGGCTAAAATGTACATCTAAACTTTACTCTACAACCAGGCTAAAATCTACATCTAAAACTTACTTGGTCAGGCAATTCAACAATGGTGCCATTCTTCTTGGATGAATAGGTCACATGGAATATTACCACCAAAGTCTCATTGGGTGGGGCACTGCAGAGACAGCATAAAAAGAAAGCCACGCTGATCTGCAGTGAATTTCCAGCTGGCAGAAGAAGCCAGTCTGGCTTATCCCAGAATTCTCACCCTCATCTTACTCTGGTGCCATCTAGCTGTGCTGATGGGCATAGTCCTCTATCACGGGCCAGGATGACATCAAAATTATGATGCACGCATGACAATGTCATCGTGCAAATAACGTCCAGTCCATAAGTCATCTCAAGGTAACAAAGAAAACTGAATTATTGCCTCTGGGCAGGACTGCAGCACAAATGACTTCCCTGAGCAACACTTCCTGGTTTTTTCCCAGGTTTGTTTACCTCGAGATTGAAGGCCAAAAGCCTCAGAGGCGGCTCTCCTAAGCTTACCTGAAGGTCACTGGGATGCTTTGCTGGCTACCCTTTTCCAGGGAAACTTCTTCAGGAACAAAGAGAACAAGGGCTCTGTCTTCAAGTGGAAAAAACGGAGGGAGAGTTTGAAGTTCGCTTTTCATCCCACATTCCCGGCTTCAGACAAGCACATTCCGATTTGGAAGAGGGAACCCCCATCATCCAGTTTATTCAAGTAACTGGGACATGAGTCCCCCACCCCACCCCAGTTTTTACAAGCCCAAGGCCTGGGGCAGACTGCCCTCTGGACGTAACATCTCCCACTTTCCATGCCTTTTAAATAGGGACTCGAGCCCATCTGGACATAAAAGTTGAGTATCTCAACACATACATGCATAAATACGGGCACGGATTGGAAAGGGAAAAAGAGATGAACCGAGCCAGCTAGTTTATTTAAAGCAGTGTTTTTCAAACTTGGTAACTTTAAGATGTGGAGACTTCAACTCCCAGATTTCTCCATCCAGCAATGGGTGGACTTCAACTCCCAGAATTCCCCACCAGCATGGGTGGAGTTCAACTCTCAGAATGGCTAGGGAATTCTGGGAGTTGGTCCACCCATCTTAAAGTTGCCAAGTTTGAAAAACACTGCTCTAAAGTTTCTTTTTAAAAAATGGGAAGCAGAGAACGGATTCAAGAGGTAAACCGAAGTCTTGCCTGCCTCTGAAGGAGAAGAATCCTTCAACTGCCGGCAGAATCACTTACCACAGGCTGCAAACGAGGCAAAGGATAAAAACAGCAGATGGAAGAGGGTGAGTCTATTCGCCATCATGCCAAAACAGCTGACAGCTGCAAAGAAGAACATTAAAGAGGAAGCTCTTAGTTTTAGTTAGGAAAAAAAAGTCCAGTCTCAAAATACCAGACTCTTGTAGAGAATAAGATTCTTTCCAAGGCGACTCGTGATTATAGCTCAGGGACACTTCGCAGACTATCACAAGAGTTGCTGAAAAGCCTATCTGCTTCCCTAAGCTTTTTGTCGGAAGGGTGGTGCCACGCTGAAGAAACTCTTCTCTTGCCCTGCCTCAGATCAGTGGGGAAATTTTCCAACTCCCCAGGACAGATCAGTCCCTATCTGAAGACAGTCAACCCTGAGAAATGGGATCACAAATATCAAGGTGGTCCCAAAACTGCTCAACTAGAATTTGTCCTGCTGTTTTCCCCATCACACATCCAACTATATACGCTAACACAGTATTCCTCAACCTTGGCGACTTGAAGATGGGTGGACTTCAACTCCCAGAATTCCCCAGCCAGC